TAATTTGAAATTTATTTAAAAAATTGCTAAAATTATGTGACGACCCGATAGATGGGGCTGGCGCGGTGTTTGCCATCACATAGTCATTAATCGATTACTCTACTTGGACGATGAAAGAAATACTGATATGCAGCTGGATTTGTGAGATCACAGGTGATCTTCATACGTGCATCTTGGATTATAATGAGAGCCTTCACGGAAAGCATATATGTTTCAATCAGGTGGGGGCTAGCCAGTCTAAATATAACGGTTTCTCCGCCTTTATCGGAGCGGTCTTGAGAGGCCCCAAATCTAAGGATAACTTCTGGTTGGTTTTCGTTGTTTGCAATGACGTTGATTGTGTAATTCATCGGAGGATCTGCCGAAATAAATCAAATTAATTACCTGGCGGATCCCTGACAAGACGCACGGTGCGATATATCTTTTGGAGGGGAATGTTAAAATCTAAGGGTTACAGGGAACAGCAGGGCATACTGGAGCGGTAATTGCTGATTTCCGAATTTCCGGTTCTGGAATCAAGCCCAGAAAAGGTCTCCAAATTGCGAATATATTTTATCTTGCGAAGGTTTTCAATGATCGAGTAGTGTCCAAATCTATGCATCAGAGGATGAAATTTACAGCGAGACGGTCGGTAAGCCAAATAGCCGTTGATCTAAGGCAGATGTGGATTGGTGGCCTTGGTCAAATTGGGATAATAGCCCATTTGAATTTTCCGACAAAACCGAGTCCGAAATTGATTTGGAGAGTGCTGAGCCTGATGTTAAAAGAGCTCCAGTGCTCTTCTGATTGGCTTCATATTGTCGAAACTTCTTAGCACGTACAGATGGTTCATCTCTGAGGATCTTGTATTTTCCTCCTTGTAATCTGATAAAGTTGATGATTTGAAAGACGCCCGGGGATGGATCAAGGCAAAGGGTCAATGAGGTAGTGTTCTATCAATAAGATGGGAAACCAAAAAGCGAAAAAAGAACACGCATATATGCGAGAAAAATCAATCGAAATGAGATAATAAGCGGTACCCTTATGCCCTTTTCTAGCTCAATATACTGTTCATCTGACCAAAGACCTTCTCCCAACGTTGAATCCAAATACATCTGGATATCTGCAGCAATGGAAGCCTCATTTGGCCTTAACAATACTCGATGTATTTCCGGGTGGTCTGAGAGGAGAGATTTTCCACCGCTGCAAAATGGCGCTTGGCTGGCTCCATTTGACAGCAAAGACGCCATTCGATAATCGTGGATTTCTATTACAATCGATCCATCATAAAATGGAACTTGCCTGTCTCTGATAATTGGAAGCAGGGAGGGATGAAGGTGACCATTATCAATCCACTCTAAAAATTCCTAAAATAAGAAAGCCACAGCACCTGGCTTTCGTAACTTGAAAGCAATAGGGGCGCCTCGCATCCATCAATTAAAATGGCAAAGGGATACAATCGCAATACAAAGGCCGGGAAAATATCCTTGAACTTATCAAGAAAGTGAAAATGCCCATGAGAAAATTTCTTATCAAATAAAAAAGAAAATACGGGTTACTATGCTTATAGTCTTTGAATCGATGTTCAATAAATCTGCTTTTAAGAGGTAGCTTATTGGGTAAGATATGCTTCTCCTACAAGATAATCAAAATACACCTGCATACAAGTTGAGGAGTTGCATTCGAGGTTTCAACGAAATGCGGTGGAATATCTTTGCGCTTTTTGATAAGGTCAGGATACATCGCGTTAAGAGCATCAATGGCATACATCACATTTGGGGTTGAGTGATCGATAACGGGAACTTGTTGTTTCAAAATATCGTCATCGTCAAATTCCTCAGTATTGTCAATGAGCTGGTTAAAAGAACACTGCGAAAACGATGATATTTGCTGAGAGGGGATTTGGGAACGTAAATATCGATGAAGAAGGCGCTTTGAATGTGGCTTTTTTGTTGAAGATGCCATGGTAGCGCCCCTAAAATGTTTACAAATGGGCTCACATTACAAATTGGACTCGAAATTTCTATTTAAAAAATGGAGAACCTGGGAATCGAACCCAGTGCCTAACGCATGCGAAGCGCTCGCTCTACCATTTGAGCTAGTTCCCCAATTAGAATTCTCGACACAAGGAATATAAAATTTATATGCTAGTAATTGATAATTTGATTATTTTCAAATCCGATTTCTGTTGCCCAACTAATTTATATTGATTATGGAGGAGATCATTCTTGGAATTAATTACCAAGTAGATCAAGGTATGGTTTAGTGGTCTGATGTTTTAGATAAATGTACGCAATTTCTCGAAAGATTTTCTTATGAGGAAATTCCATCTTCTTTTGTTCCAAATGAAAATCAAAGTGAAAATGACAATTCTGAATCTTTGAAAAACGGTAGCGTAAAATATAAATACCTTGAATGGATTGTAAGAGGATTTTGGAGTTACCTTAGAATGAAATTGCCATGGGATCTCGTACTACGATATCGATATATCTTGATGACATATTATCTGTACGTCGTTATTATGTTGTAATTTTTTAGATGGAAGAGTTGGGCACTGATTTTGCTACGAGGATCCAGAAAAACACCTATAGATATATTGAGCTTTTTATGAAGTCCATTGATATGCTTCTTCCGCTTTCAAATCCACATGTACGTCGTTATGGTTGCTAATTCTGGTTCAGGATATGGCAATTTCCTCGGATCCGGCAGTTGCAATGCTCGGTCATCGGCTTTTGAGATTACAAGCAAAGGAATCGGCCCCTTTGTCGCTTCTCTCATTTCCTGCACCTGCTCAGCAGGAAGGCGAGCTAAACATCCTATCCACGCCGCAAAAGCTGCCCATCCCGCCCTCGCTAATGCGCAGATAGTAAGCAACGAAAGATCTTTTTTAGCGTTGTCAATATAATCCCAGCCTCCAGTGTCAAGGCAATCTCTGTGCGTCAAGTCAAGTCAATACACCTTGGCTCTCTTGTCCGTCTGCGCGGCGTTGTTGTCCGAATTACGGAGGTCAAACCCCTGATGAACGTTTGCACGTTTCTTTGCGACCGATGTGGCTTTGAAATTTATCAAGAAGTTTGAGCCATCTTTCATTTCGTAGGTTACTTCAAACATTTTCACTCCGCTGGTTGAATGTCCTTCACAAGCTTGTAAGCTCAATAACACTCGAGGGGAATTATTTATGGAATCGCGTGGATCCAAGTTTTTGAAGTTTCAGGAGCTCAAGCTGCAGGAAATGGTGTCACATGGCGATCAAAATTAACCTTTAGACTGACCAAGTTCCGATTGGACACATTCCTCGATCGATAAGCGTATACCTATATGAGGATCTCACCAGGGTCGCTAGTCCTGGTGACGAGGTCATTTTGACTGGCATTTTCCTTCCTCGTGCATATACCGGATATCAGGCAATACGTGCAGGTTTGCTGACAGACACTTTTGTGCATGCAATGAGTGTCGAGCTCATGATTAAGAAATACAGCCAATTGGTTTTGGACCCAAAAGTGCTGGTACAAGTTGTGGCCTTGAGTAAAGAGCCCAATGTGTATTCTAAACTGGCTCGATCAATTGCACCAGAAATCTACGGGCATGAGGATGTCAAAAAGGCGCTTCTTCTAATGATGGCTGGCGGTGTCACAAAAGAAACCGCAGACGGATTGCGGATCAGAGGTAACGTTCATTTGAGGGTTCGATAATCTTAGGGGATATGAACATATGTTTAATGGGCGATCCTGGGGTTGCCAAATCCCAGCTGCTGAAATACATTTCTCGCATTGCTCCCAGAGGGGTTTACACTACTGGAAAAGGTAGTAGTGGCGTTGGATTAACCGCTGCCGTGGTGAAGGATCCGCTTACCAACGAGATGGTGTTGGGTAAGTTTGAAACAGCGTCTCTAATAACCAATAGAGGGCGGTGCCTTAGTGCTCGCCGACAACGGCATATGTTGCATCGATGAATTTGACAAGATGGAGGAGTCTGACAGGACTGCAATCCACGAAGTAATGGAGCAACAAACAATTTCCATCTCAAAAGCCGGCATCACCACAACATTAAATGCCAGAACTTGTATTCTTGCTGCAGCAAATCCGCTCCATGGACGTTACAATATACGTCGGTCGCCAAACGAGAATATAAACCTTCCATATGCGCTTCTTTCTCGCTTCGATATTCTGTTCTTGCTCCTGGACCGTCCAAACGTTGAAGAGGATGCTCGGCTAGCCAGCCATATTTTGAATGTCCACAGGACCGGATCCGTTTCATGCAATGAGGAAGGGGTGGATCCGTCCACCTTTTTCGTATCTCCAGACGTTCTAAGGTATTATTCTTTTGGTCTTTTCTTCAGACAATATATCGCCTATGCCCGTCGGTTTAATCCAGTGCTTCCAAAATCGCTTGTAGAATATTTGACAGGAGTCTACGTCAGTCTAAGGACAACCGATGCAATGGGAAAGGATTTCTACACCACCCCAAGGACGCTTACTGGCGTTATTCGCATGTCACAAGCATTGGTGGATTTTCTGTTGTAACAATTAGGCCCGTCTTCGCTTTAGCACAGAGATAGCCCAGGCCGATATTGACGAGGCCCTTCGTATATTGGACTCTTCACGTTCCTCCATCTATCTGACCGAATCTCAATCGATAGGGTACTTTTTTTATATAATGGTAGACAACGTTATCCTGCCGATCCAATATCCAAGATCTATGCTATCATTCGCGATTTGGCCAAGGCCATCCAGACAGAATACAATTCAGGGGCACCCATCCAGCTCCCCATCGATATCATAAGAGAGTCAATTCAATCGGCTGGATATTCGGAGACCCAGTTGCAGAGCTGTCTGAGTATGTTTGATCGGGCCTCGGTCTGGTCTCTTTCGGAAAACGGCCAACGGCTTGTGATTTTGAACTAGCCCATAAATAATCAGAACACGCCAAATTTTACAAATCCAATGCCAACATTAGTGCACTTCCGAGCATTTTACCAAAAAGTTTATTTAAATTTCGCTGTTTAACCAAAATTTGGGTCTTCACGTGGTGTTACCAGAGACCGTTGTTTTCAAAAATGGAGAAGACAAAAGATTCTTAATCCTCTCCGAGATAACCGTTTTTATTTGGTTGCGTTCATCTGTCGCCCTTCCGAATAGGGATGAATTCTCTTGTGCTCTTCGAAGTAGATACGGCAACACTTCTTCTACAGTACCCACAGGCACATATTTATAAGGAATTGCCAAATCGGAATTTGCAATAGAAAATGTTAAATGATCGGCCATTCCAAGGAGCTGGCCAATCATTACTTTATTTCCTTGGGCTTCTGGATCAACCTGGGAAAGAATTTTTTCAATGCTCTCGACATTGTGGGTTGCAAAAAAGGCCGCCGTGCTTTCGCCATTATTTTGAATAGCATTCAAAAGCAGGTCGATGGCCTTAGAATAATCTTCATGCGTCTTGGAGATCGAATCGTTAATGGGAGAGGATAATCCGAAGCTCAATGCTCGCGCAGATTCGGATTGCATATACGCCCCACGAACAACCTTAAGGGCAAACGGCAATTTGTACATATAATACAGCTGGTGGTCTTGCTGAAGGGAAGTAAATCCATTTTTGAGATACATTTGATAAGTTCCAAAAAGAACAGGCTTGTCTCGCAGTAAGGGGGCCTCCTTGGCAATCACAAAAGTCAGGTAATGAATGGCTGTTTGGAAGTAAGTTTGCTCAGCATCAACCATGATTGAGATAGACTTTTTCGCAGCAAATTCAAATATATCCCTGCAGAAGGCCATACTGTTGATTAGGGATTGCTGCAGATTCTTATAATCGGATTCGTTCATAACTTTTGCATGTCCGTGGATAGGGAGGTAAATTTCTGAATAAAATTTGAGAACAAGTTCGGGATGCAAAGCGGAAAACACTAAATTGCGCGCCGACATGTTCGGATATTTGCGTTGGATTTTAGTGATTTCCTTTTTTAGCTCTGCAATTGTCTGATGGTCTCCACTTTGATTGGGCAATTTAATTCCAAAGTCGTGTAGCGATTTCACACCATCATTTCCTTCCAATTTTGAGATCAGAAAATCCAGAGATGAGGTTAACAAATATAAAAGCCCCGTTGGAACCATACATGTTAGCTTAAGGGCGACAAATTTAGTCATATCAGAATTGCTTCCAGCAGACAGCTGCGTAGCCGGTATGGCGGCAGCATTAATCAAGTTTTGAATGACCATTTTTCTTTGGTTCATTACGTCTGCATCAAAGATAGATGAGGCAGAGTTGCTAAGCTGTGGGAGGATCCTATCCTCCGGAAATAAGTCAATTTCTTTGAGATCTTCTTCCATTGCTGGATCCAAGATACTTCCTACTCCATTTTCTGACAATCGCTTAGTGGTTCGCGAGATTTCCTCATTAGTAGATCCTCCACAAAAATGCTGAAAAAAAGATTTTTTCACGATTACATTTAGAGGGACAAAAAGAGAGGGATAACTCAGTGCATATTTGACATATATTGGAGCCATTTTCGATGTGATCCATGAGGTTTGGCATGCCTTTAATACCATGTTAGCGAGTAAAAGGTTGCCTATTGAAACATTCTTATAAGAGGAGAGAAGGGTATTCGTATCACAATTGATCTTAAATGCCTTATGATTGGATGGCCGAAGACCTACTGATGACAGTGATCGAAAAGGCGAGATTTTCATTAGAGATGAACCCCGACCAAATTAATATGAAAAATCTGATTATCAACATGATTGCCACTATTTTGCACTTTGCAAATTACAGTAATTATAATTTAATTTTTAAATGCAATACTGGGGATTTCAAATGTCAGCAGCACATGGAATTGGGATTTTTTGCAGAAAAATCTATTTTCAATGAGTATCGAGATTTTTTGGTCCACATATATACAAAAAACACTGGCTAATTTTGCCTTCTCTATTGTATCGACACAGCATTGTGTTTGGCCTGGCATTATGCGTATGTTTCAATTTTGAGCACAACGCCTCTTTTGTGGTTACATTTTGATTGTGCATATAAGGCGTAGGGTACAACTGGACATCAAAAATAGTGAAATGTAAAGCTTGTGCCCAATATACGAAGTTTGTCGCGAAATATACCAAGGTTTTGATGGCAAAAGTAGGAATATCTCGAGAAACACCGATCCCCAATGGTAGCATGAAAAAGAACACGTGCCAAGTACTTTGAAGCGATAAAAAAATTCTCCCCAATTTGTGGTCTCTTACTCTGATGCCAAAATAAATTAAAAAGTTGGCCTAAACAATGGCACATGCAGGATATTTGGCAAGCAAGCAAAGGAGTCGTTGTAGAGCTTAAGGAAACAGTCAAACGTTGGATAATATTTGGTAAGCCATGCAAGCGGACACAAATCAAAATCTTGCTGCATATAGCATCCACCGGGGTGGAATGGGATAATGGCGATATCTTTATATTTATTATTCTTCATCTCTAGTATTAAAAAAATCTCCGTTCCAGTAAGGTCTGCACTAGCTTCAGGCGGCTTCACGCGCCTAGGAACCGACTGCATGGGACTTTAATAGCCTCCCAATGGCTCTGATGAATTTTTACCTGTAAAAAGTGGATACTCGATTTTTTAGCCGTTAAGAAAGGGAGTGCATTTAGAAAAGACCCTTTTGCTCCTTATCTGCGAGAAAAAATACAATGGAGAGCAGATTGCGCTTTGGTTAGCTCAAAAGCTTACAAGTACCATTTACGGTGCAAACAAAAACCAATTTTGGAATGAAAATAAAATTGAAAATAGAAAAATTTACTTGGAACGGGGAAAGGGTACGCCCAATTTCCGTTGCCAAGCAGTCTGATCAATATTAGAAAAAGGGTCTGGTTAAAAATACTGATCCTGAAAGTTTGGATAATTAAGAAGAAATGACCAAAGACATCATTGAGGTATGCATGGGTCACATTATCCGCAGAACGCCTCCAATCCTATGCTGTCTGCTCGCAAGTCCTTCTCAAAGAAAACAATACACTTTACGATGATGATAGTTGGTATGTGCAATTTTTATACTTCCAAGGACAATCTGGCCTCGGAAAAGCCACGTTCATCAATACGCTATTTGATTCGATTGTTATCCCGCCCCGCGAAGACGCTGAAATAGACCTGGATTTGGAGAGGATCGAGCCCGTCCGATTTGTTCCGTATTTGTATGGTATGTGTGTATTGTCTTTGACCTTGACGTTGCAGAGTCAGACCAGAGCTCAAAAAAACTGAACATTACGATTATCGATACTCCCGGGTTTGGGGAGTCGCTTAGCAATTCACAAGGGTAAAAACACAATATTAAATAATGGCCTAGATGCGCTACCATTCTTGAATATATTGAGGAGCAATACGACAAGTTCCTGGCAGAGGAATCGCGAATAAATCGAATTAGGAAGTACGAGGATTCGCGAGTTCATGTGCTCTTGTATTTTATCGCGCCCACTGGCCATGGGTAAATGTGCAGCAAATTTACCATTATCATGTAGGCTAAAGGATCTTGATATTCTTCTGATGAAGTCGGTTGGGAAGAGAGTCAATATCATCCCTGTGATTGCAAAGTCAGATGCGCTTACGCGTTCCGAATTGCTTTCCTTCAAACAACAGGTAATTTCCATTTTTTATGGGCAGGTCATATCAGATATAAAAAAATATCACATTCCAATTTATGAGTTTGAGCCACATGATTTTGACGAGTCAGATGTTATTCAATTCAAGGAAAACGCAAAGGTACCCATCCAAACAGTGCTAATCATTGCAGCAATATTTGCCATTTGCCATCGTTGGAGCGGAGCCCGAATATATCGGCATCTCAAAGTCAAATGGCATCCGAAGAGGTCGTCAATTGCCTTGGGGATTTGTTGAAAGTATTTCAAACATCGTCTCTAACATGTAGCGGATAATCCGGAACACTCGGATTTTCCCAAGCTTAAGGCCATTTTGTTAGGGTAGTAGCATATCATCCGCGCTTAACTATGTAGACAATTTATGGAAGAATTGAAGGAAAATATATCCGATATCCTTTATGAAACATATCGTACTGAAAAGCTGTCGCGTCAAGAATTCAAGGAGCTGCCTGCCGATAGCGACGATATTAAAGCCAAAATGATTTCTTCCGCCAAAAAGTTGGCCAAATTTTACATCCAGGTAAACATTGAGGGCCAAGCTGATCCTTCCTTTTAGGAGAACAAAGTTGCAATTGATGAGGAAATCAATTAATTCGGCCGTTGAATAAAAATTAAAATCTTCTGTATGATTACACTGTGCTTTCCTTTTTCGGGCACAATAAATGACGTGATGGCAAAGCTCTTCAATGTATCGATGTGCACAGAATTTCCAGATTTAATGCTCGGGTGGAAAAGTGCCAATTTGGCCGTTTTTGCGTCTCTTGGCTGTACGCTGGGGCTAGTCGAGATGTCTCTGCATGAGGTATGCCTTGCAACTAAGAAAAGGTCATTATGCACTCCATTGGCGTGTTGCTTGGGCGTGAGAGAAAAAGTGCGTCAAAACCCTACAAATCATCGTTTTCGGTGCTGACACTTGGATTCCGATTTGTGGGCATCATATTGGTTTATTTTAGCTGAAAGATGGATCCACCAGTGTTTCTGGAACACATGCAATTGAATCGTTCTATCCGAACACAGCAGTCTCCTTTCTTTTGTCCGAGTGCAGATTTTCTTCGCTGCATTCAATGTATGCATGCTCTGACAAACTATATCTTAGGCTTGGAGATGCAATATTTTCCTTTTTTTTGGTCGAGTTTTCCATGTTCTTCAAAATGCCAAATGATGTTTGGTTACAAATAGCCGGTTAGTCTTGTGGGTAAACCATCATTTTAGGCGTTCCTTTTTATGAGGAGCCAATAGCGTTCTCCACAAAAAGCAATGGAAGCGGGAATCCTTTTCTCATAAATCGAAGGGCTATGTTTTACAGTGGAACGGCAGCGAAAAGCCGTCCCCAAGTGGATCCTATATGGGGGTTTCCTCCTGAACATTATTTTTCAACCGTATGTAAGCGAGATACAAACCTTCGAATTTTACTTGGAAAAATATTTGAGCCAAAAGATATCCCCACCAAGAGGCGCAGTTGGAGATTTAAATTCATCAGTTCGCAGCTGAAGCTCATTTGCAAACGGCATCAAAAGTTGCCATACAAGAGCCTTATGGATAAATACTGCGCAACTGTTGATCTGCAACGGCCGTCCTCTTCTTTGGGCAATCTTGCAAACCATCAAGTTTACTTATTTTTGCGCGCAACACTTTTAAGGCTGCTACCGTTGAAGCTGTTTGGCCATTCATTCAATAGGCGGCAACTTTTCAAAGGTATGCGTGGGCATTTTTACCATCAGCCTTGAAACATTTTGTCAATTTACGTCGATATGAATGCATCGACTTGAACATATACTTTCAATGGCTAAACGTTACCCTGCTGCGGGGATTCTTTTCAAAACGATCTCTATCTCAAAATTATCTTCCATTTACAGAAGTTGCGCACGTTCGGCTTTTATTTCGTTGCATCTATTTTTGGATCTTTAATGACATTGTTGTGGCTTTATTAAGAGTAACTTTACCCATTAACTGGCTTTTAGAACAATTTCTACATAACAGAAGCAGGAAGCAACAAGAATACTGTGATCTATTTCCGCTGTGATGATTGGAAGAAAATGTCCACCGAGTTCTTGTCAGACTTGAAGAAAGCCATTTTTTCTCCGTTTCTTGTGGTAAGTGTTGTGAAAATCGATTTTAGGATATTAGTGAAACAGATCACGAGCTAGCGCCCTCTGTACTCCGCCTTGTCCCGACAGGCAATGGAAAGAAGCTAAGGGGAGTTGTAAATATGGGAAGGAGGGCTTCTAAATTGGCATACAACGGCTCTGCAGTGCAGCTTGAAGTTGGGTATCACTACAAACTTTTGGGAAATTTATTTTCTGTTCTTTCATATGAAAAGGTACCTTTTTTGTATGGTATAATGTTGAGAAATTGAATTGCAATTCTGGTAGCGTTGATTTTAGTGTACTCGGTCTTGATGAAGTATCGTCCAAACTGCAAAGGTTCAGGAGTACCATGAAAAATATGAATGTATCTTCTTCGTGTCGACTGTTTGCTGCAAAAGTCGATGTCAAATCTTGCTACGACACCATTTGCCATCAGAAGCTGTTAAAAGAGGCCATAAAGTTTTCTTCACCCTCTGGCTATAAACTTTTTCGCTGGGCCAGCATAAAGCTTCTTGCTCCCGGCAAGTTTAAGCGGGCTTTTCACAAGAACGCACTTGCGGGCTCGTCAGTCAATGACCCCGTCGAATGGCTTCAGTTTACAAATGGATTGAAGTCTTGTGTAGTGGTTCAGCAGTTGAACTTTGGCTCTTCTTTTTTGGAAACATCAAAGCTCATTTCTGTCCTTAAAAGACACATTAGGCAGCATTTGGTTTACATACATGGGGACGGATATTACAAACAATTGGTCGGCATTCCACAAGGATCTGTCCTTTCCTCGCTTTTGTGCAGGTAGCTCTTCTCTTGTTATATTTTTAGCATTTACTATGCAAATTTAGATGCCAAAGAATTCGCTGCATTCAACAGACCCGACACTGTACCGGTTTGCTTCAATAATACGGATAGCTGATAATGCGATTTGTCGATGATACCATTTGCATCTCTTTGGATAGGGATGTCACCGTGCATTTCTTGAAAAAGTTCCATCAAGGTTTGCCATTGTGCTAATTGACAGGGTTCTCTCAATACAACTGCCATATCAATTTTTCTAAAACCGCCATAAATTTCGCTCTCGCTGAATCTGAAAGAGACTTTCTTGGCGCCGATCCTAAAATCATTGAATCTGGTAAGCCCCTTCAAGTGTTGATAAGTAGATACTTTCCCCTGGTGTGGGTTGGCAATCTCTTGCAGAGCGCCTTTTTATGTGAAATCCGATTTTTCCAGATGGAATACCCTCAAAGGTACCACCATGTTGACGCTTGAACAAAATCCTAGATGTTTCTGATAGCTTAACCGTTCTTTACCATCAAAAACCTATGGCCTCATTCCAAGATTTTCTTCGCAGGTCAGCGTCTTTATTTATAATCAACAGATCTTTTAGGCCAAAGTTGCATGCTATCTTTAGATCTTTCAATGATGGTTTGTGCCCCTCCAGTGTCTTTGTTGTTCATGTAAATTTTTTCGAGTCCATTTTGCTTGTCGCGTTGAAGGCCTGTGTATACATTTCTGATTTGCGAAAAGCTCGCCAGATCTCTACTTCAGGCCTATCTAATTTATTTTTCGCAAGTAGCATATTATCATAATCGCAGAAACATTCATTTCATTTATTCAGAGATCCTGCATCAAATTTTCGAAATCAAGCAGCGTCGACCTCTGGCTTTACAGGTGGCAATATGTCTTCATTAACCGTGCAGAATTGGAGCATTTGCAGTCATGCTAGGATGCAAAAAACAGCCCGGAACACTATACACCCAAACTATGAAAATTTTGCGCGCAACCATATTCACATGCCGTTCTTGCTTGCGCACGTCAAAGTGTAATGCGCATTGCGGCTGCAAGAAATTGGGCTTTTTGACATCTTCATATCTCAAAAGGATTCATTCAGATTCAGAACTTGCATTGCAGCTGAAGATTCCTTTTTCGTATTAATTTAACCCCATTAAACAATGCAAAATAAGTCAATTTATGCGATCGTTTTGGTGGAGAAATACAATATTAAACTAAATAAAAATGATCAACCATTGATCTTGTGCCCGGCTAGCTCAGTCGGTAGAGCGCGAGACTCTTAATCTCGCGGTCGTGGGTTCGAGCCCCACGTTGGGCGCTTTTTTAATGCAATTTATTTTCCCTTTTTGGGCGTTAAATAATCGACTATCAATTTGTAAAAGGCTCTTACTGGAAATCCCATGGTATTGTAAAATGATCCTGTCATCGTCTTTATGAAAACAGAAAGCAAGCCAAATTCAGAGCACGCACCGGCCTTATCCAATGTTTCATCCGAATATGCTGTGTATGCATCTAAAAAATCGTTGTCCAAGTCGTCAAGACTTGAGGTGGTACTTTCATAACTTGACAAGATATCTTTGAGTGCTCCATTACCATCCAAGCAGAGAATTGTAATTGCTGAATATACGATGTGCTCTTTTCCGGAAAGGGCTCTCAACATTTCCGCTGCATGTTTCCTTGACGCCGGCTTTTCGAAAATCTGATCTGTTTCTGGATCATACACAATGGTATCAGCCGAAACTATAAAACGCACGCCAAAGATGGAGCTTGAAGCAGAAAATCTCTCAAATACCTCAAGGGCCTTTTGCTTTGCCGTTTCACAAACATATGAGACTTGCGAATTTTCACCAGTCCCTCTTTGTAGATTTTCTGAAAATAGCGATGGGATTACGGTGAACTTAACACCAAGGTTTCGTAAGATTTCTGCTCTTCTGGGCGATGTTGAGGCAAGGATTGTGATTGCCGGATCCATTGTCAGCTGAGAAAACGGAGAAGTTCCCCATGGGTTTTGCTCATTTGAAAGCATTAAAATTTTGGCTGAAATGGGTGATAGCTATCTCCAAGCCTAACCCTAAGATGTAGACAATACTCCACCTGCAATTGCTTTGAAGAGCCTGGAAGGATTGTGTAGAGTTTACGGCCTTCGATGCGATTGCCGTGTTTCGAGGCTTCTGAAGAAGATCGTAGCGATCCGGATTCAAAAAAAGAGATCAAATTGTACAGAAAGAGCTTGAATACATGGCGATTCAAAAATTATGAAAAGCCATCGAGGCTAGCATTGATGAGAACAGGCCTAGAACACCAGAGCAAAGCGCTGCTTGGGCTACACACAAGCCCTATCCAAAAACATGCCCGTGCATGCATTTGATTTAAGAATTGCGGTACAGAGAGAAAAATGGCTAGACCTTGGAGCATCTGAAGGGGTGAATGAAATGATTTCACTGGATGGCTCGCGAATTTTGGAAGACCAGATGGTGATGGCTTTGTGTGAATCCGTTACCGACGATCGATATTTCGCAAAGACGTCTAAAATCAAACAAAACGCAATCAAAGTCAAAAAGCGCCGTCATATTGCTGGCGACATTAGATCAGTGCGTCGCTCGTCAATATGGTATCTCCTTATTCCAACGAGAGGGGCATGTTTTACGACCCATCAAAACACATTAAACGAGTTATGGATCCTCAGGGGCGCGTGCAACGGGTTCAAATTTAAACTTGAACACTTGCAGTCGACTGATTCGTACGGCCAGCCAATCCGGTTCTTCATAAAAACAGCTTCAAGCACAAGGCTAGGGTGTGCTCAGTCCCAACTGAACGAAAACAAATTTGAGGCTATAGGAGACACATACCACATCTCGACCAAAAGCAAAGAGTATGCGGAAAARCACGTATCTTTTGGCGTGCCTTTCTTGACGGACAATGAAATGCAGGCTGCTAAAACGAAGGATTAATTCCGAGTTTTATTTAATTATCAACTAAGAAACAACGTATCAAGACCGCCTTGCTCTGCTTGCTCTTTGGCAAACTTTTCAAAGTACTGATAAATGATCGTAACGGCTAGAAGGATCCCTGTACCGGTGCCTATGGCTTTGGTAAGGTCAGCAGTAAGCGACAAAGCACCGATGGTAAGACCGCCCAGGGAGGCAGCCATTGGAATAAGCTTCTTGAGCTCCTTGTTTAGTGAACCCTCACGATGCCCAGGCAGAGTCAATTGCTGATCTTTAAGCTGACGGGCCACATCTTGGGGAGAAGATCCAGACACCTCAACCCAAGTCTTCGAAAAAAGAGCACAGGAGCTCAAAATGAAGATTAAATAGACMATAAAGTGGATTGGATCCGTAAAGATCTCAAAAAAGGAATGCGGGGAGGTGATGTAGTAGGAAAGACCGCCGACGGCAAAAAATTGGCTAGTTCCCTCATAGGGCTAAAATAAAATATGCAAACAAGTACCTCCCAAACACCAAGCAAACGAACAAGCAAATTATGAGGGAACTTGTTATACAACATTTGTGAAATAAAAAAGGTATTTGAGATGAGGGCACTTTGCAGCATAATTGGCATGTTGGAGGTGTAGAAGAGCTTGATCGGATAAGTGCCTTGCTGGCCACGCATGCGCATGTTTTTCACCGGCAATTCGATGCGGAAACCTTGCAGGTAAATGACGACTGCAAATACGAGCACAGTCGAAATTAAGCTTGAAATGTTTGGAAGATTGGTTCGGAAAAAGGCGTGTTTAAGCGCTCTCAATTTATCGTCTCTGGTGATCAAAAGATGGAACAGAGCAATGACGGCACCCTCGAATTCGGTTCCTTTGCCCGTGTTGTACGTTGTGGGCGATAAGCTTTTCCAAATAATTGTTTCGCAAATGTTCGTCGCGATGAATAAAGAAATGCCAGAGCCAAGGCCATATCCGTTTTCAAGAAGCTCATCAAGAAGAATGATCAGAACTCCAGCAATGAAAAGCTGCATAATAAGCAAAAGACAAACACCAGCACCGATTTCATTTGGGTCGCCATAGAAGCCAGAAAGAACTTGAACGAGAGTCTGTCCAAGAGTCATGATCAGAGCAAACACTAAAGGGAAAATGGGGCTCAAACATACGTTTTTGCGCTCCGGCATAAAGAATACGATCTTCTTTTACAGACTGATCTACCTCGATAATGTTGACACCGGCAAGAAGCTGCAAAATCAGCCCTGATGTAACGATCGGGGTGATGCCCAACTCCATAAGGGTCCCGCGATTCGAGGCCATGATGACGCGCATCCAGTAGAATGGATCCGAAGATTCGCTGCTCATGATTCCATAAAGTGGGACTTGCGAGCACACAAGAAAAATGAAGAGCGTGACGGCAGTCCAAAGCACCTTTTCACGGAATTGGACCTAGGCCATACGTGTGCGAAAACCTACCTTTCGCTCAGATTTAGCAACACCGGGAAGGATGGCCAAAAACGGGCGCATTAACTGCAAAACTCTGACTAGGCCGGGTTAGGGAGCGTAACACTTACATCCCATGATAGCAAAAAGATATTTTGATGATTAAGATAAGATATAAAGTAATCACATCAATTGCACAATAGGCTTGGCTTGGCTTTTAATTTTAATTTTCAAGTTGGATTTGAATTTCAATTTAAATTTGAATTTCAAATTACCGACCGCTTTTCGGCTTCTTTACCTACTTTATGCGCCAAGATGAGGATCGTACCCAGGCCCTTCCTTTTCAAAAGTTGAAATCTGGACTGAACATATTTACACCGCTTTCAACCTCTTCAACTAGACGAATGGATACGGAAGAAAGAGCACTTCCGTTTACTCCAATTTCACTGGTCAGCATCTCCTCTTTTAATTTCTAGGACAACTTCAAGCCCACTCCAAGTCGGCATTCAGACAGAGCTTCACATAGGCGAGAATATTCACCAGACTCGCAAAGCAGTTACCATTCCCGCCACAGTGAGGATAAATATCGATATTCAGATCAAAGATCAAGACATAGTGATCGTAGGTCCAGAGATTCTTCCAGCAGGCATCAAGAATCATGGTCCAAAAGTTCTGATAGAAAAAATCACAGAGAAGATTTTTCAAGGCGTGCAGACGATATATCCACTTCGGAAGGCCCTGAGGGCCATCAAATACTATTGGCAGCAGATAAGCCAAAAGTGGTTTCCAGAGCAGCTGCTCTTCGCCGACTTATGTATGACAAGGACAATCAAAAGTGGGAGCTCAATCGTCTCGAAACAAGTGGCATAAGCACTGGAGAGATTTTGGAAAGCCCCAGGAGATACACTACTCGCAATGAGATTGATGAAGATCATAGACATGTAAAGCTTCCTTCGATAACCTGTTCTTAGACACGGTCGTATCTGATTGCAAAAGAGGCGCATCCTGTTTTCCTTTCAGGCTGGTCATTGCCCATGGCACGCGGCATTGGACAGCCTTCCGGGATAATTCTTCCAGTAAGAGATCCTACCTCCGATATGGCTACCTTTGCAAGAAAGGGTTCAGCGCTCGTACGTGCCGCGCGTGAACGGAAAGAGCGACAGCGGGTTTTGGCATCGCTTGAGGGTGGAGGAACAACTTTAGGCCGCATCCGCGGTGTTCCCGCGAACGAGGAGAGCGTTGAGGGTGATGGAAGAGAGCGCCCAGGTGAAGAGCTAATCAATGCAGAGGTGGAAAATGAGCCTCTACCCTCAATTGGAAGCTCCGATTTTTCACGCTCAAAGACAATCAAGGAGCAAAGGCAGTTTTTGCCTGCTTTTGGTGTAAGGGACACCCTTTTGCGCATGCTACACGACCATCAGATTATGATTGTAGTCGGGGAAACTGGCTCAGGAAAGACAACTCAACTGACTCAATATCTTCACGAGGTAGGGTACTCTCTCCGCGGCATCATTGGATGCACCCAACCACGTCGCGTTGCAGCGATGTCTGTTGCCAAGCGTGTTGCTAGCGAGATGGGCACGACTCTGGGAGATCAGGTTGGATATGCCATTCGATTTGAGGATGTGACATCCCCTACTACCAAAATCAAGTGTAAAAAATCGCAATCTAATTCTTAGATATGACGGACGGCGTTCTGCTGCGAGAATCGCTTCGTGATCCAGACTTGGAGGAATATTCTGCCATCATTATGGACGAGGCCCATGAGCGCTCTTTGCATACCGATGTGCTGATGGGTATTCTCAAACAAATTGTTGGGCGCCGTAGGGATCTCAAACTGATCGTGACCTCGGCGACCATGAATGCGGAGCGGTTTTCCGATTTCTTTGGGCGTGTCCCGATTTTCAAGATCCCAGGACGCACTTTTCCGGTGAGCACCTTTTATTCAAAGGTTCCTTGCGAAGATTATGTCGATGCTGCTGTTCGAAAAGCCCTTGAAATTCATATTTCGTCAGGGCCTGGAGATGTTTTGATTTTCATGACTGGCCAGGAAGATATTGAAGCAACAGTCTCCACACTACATGAGCGGCTGGAGGCATTGGAAGAGGGTATCCCAAAGCCGGCGATTCTTCCCATTTATGCTAATCTGCCCTCAGAGCTGCAGTCAAAGATATTTGAAGCCGTTCCCGGTGGAATTCGCAAAATTGTAGTGGCCACCAACATTGCGGAGACTTCGTTAACGGTTGACGGCATTGTCTTTGTCATCGACTCTGGCTATTGCAAACTCAAGGTTTATAATCCAAGAGTGGGCATGGACGCCCTGCAAGTCGTGCCGATATCCCAAGCAAATGCCAATCAACGCGCTGGACGTGCAGGCCGAACTGGGCCAGGAACCTGCTTTCGCCTGTATACCGAGTCTGCATATTACCATGAGCTATTGGAGGCAACGGTGCCGGGGATTCTTCGCACCAACCTGTCAAACACGGTTCTGTTGTTGAAGAGCTTGGGTGTGATCGACCTTTTTTCTTTTGACTTTATGGATGCGCTCCCACCAGATGCGCTAAAAACAGCCATGTTTCAACTATGGATGTTGGGTGCGTTAGATGACGAAGGCGCCCTTACCCCGGCCATTGGCAAGAAAATGGTTGAGTTCCCTTTAGAACCTTCTTTGGCGCGAATGGTACTCTCAGGTGTAGAGATGGGCTGTGCTGCTGAAATCCTTGTCATTGTATCTATGCTTTCTGTGCCGCCAATCTTTTTCCGGCCGAAAGAGCGTGCCGAAGAAGCTGACGGAGCAAGAGAAAAATTCTATGTAGGCGAGTCGGACCATCTAACTTTGCTTCACGTTTATTCTCAATGGCGGTCGCACGGATACTCCGATGTCTGGGCCCATCAGCACTTTCTGCATTCAAGACTGTTGAAAAAAGCCCGAGAAGTATATACACAACTGTTGGATATTCTTACCAGGCAACAAGGGCTAGCTGTCCAGTCCTGTGGCCCAAACTGGGATATCGTCAGAAAGGCCATTTGCGCAGGATATTTTCACCAGGCTGCTCGCGCAAAGGGCGTGGGAGAATTTGTCCACTGTCGCACAGGCATGCCGTGCAAGTTGCATCCGACAAGCGCACTTTACAACCTGGGTGCCTTGCCTGAGTATGTCGTATATCATGAACTCATCATGACATCCAAAGAATATATGATGTGCGTCACTGCCGTTGACCCTGCGTGGCTCGCTGAATTGGGACCCAAGTTTTTTGCCTTGCGAGAAGAGGAAGGCGGAAACGAGGTGCTCGCTGATGGCACCATTACATCTACCCCGCTTTATAAAAGCCTGCGCAAGGGTGCTGGATTCAGCAGCCGGAGTAGCAGCTATACGCTACATGGCAGTACAACACCGACCGATAATGATGTGCCCGAAAGGGCTGAAAACAAGTCCAACCCACCAGCACCGCCTAGATGGGTTGATGTGGCCAAGCCGCTGAGACTGCCTGCAAAGGGCACTAATAAAACTAATTAATGAGAGGTTTATTCCAGTTAATTGCGCCTAATGTTTGTGATGCTTTCCGCAGCATGGTTTTTTCCCATCGCCAGAGGATGGCAATACATTATGGATGGCATTTGAGATTGCACAGCCCAACGTAGTAAAAAGAACAAGCGCGGCCAATCTCATGGGCTTACCGCCAAATAAATCGCTGCTAAACCCTGCTTTAGGTATCTTTTTAATAAGCACATAAAGGATCAGCATAGAGAAAAACACAAGATCCAACAATCCGATAGCGAAAACTGCAAGCAGATAAAGCCGTCTTTCTTTTCCAAAAATGCTGATTGTAGTTTTGCCATCATTATATTTCGCCAAGGAATCTGAGATGTAATCAGAATACCTCACAATCAAGACAAGACAAATAAATTGAGCTAGCATATAACATGAAGTTATACATTTGACCAAAGGATATTTGGTCAGAGAACCGTGACCATGGCCGTGACCATGGCAGTGGCAGTGGTGACCGCCGGAAAGTGCATCTAAGGTAAGATCGTAAGCAATGAAGCCAAAAAATCCAATAGATAGTGCGTTAAGCACTTTTGACATATACTCATTGCTGATGGAATCACATTTTAACACTTTGCAAGCGATAAGGGTAGAAGTAACACAGAAAAAGGGAAGCAAAGAATAGATCAATTGATAAAATATTTTGGCCTCAGATATACCACCACTGACAGCCATTGTCTCCATTATCTTATGAAAAGCTAGAGCCTCGAATCCAGAGATAGGCATCATGTTGAAAAAGGTCGAATTACCAGTCGACTCAGACTTTCCAAAAGAGAATAAAACTCCACACTCTACGAAAGCATCAACAAAAAAGAAGATGAATTTACCCAAAAGATTTTGATGATGAGAACCGTGTTTATGAGCTATTTTCAAAAGATAAAAAATAACGAATGCACCCAAAGAACCCATGGCAACGGGAAGATATCTTGTAAGAGTCCAAAAGTTTGGCGACGTCTCAACACTGGGATATGATGGGGATGCATAATTAGCCTCAACCGGCTTTTCTACTTCTATATCTTGTTCAAAACCACCCAAATATTCACTGGAATGAGAAAGAAAATGAGATAAAGCCGCAGCAGCACAAATAATGGGTGCAAGCTTGTTCCAGAAAGAATTATCTAGTTTTTTTGATAGATAGCTTTTAAACAGAAGACATAAAAACGTCACTGCAGACAGAAGCAACGACGAGATAATAGGGATGTGCACATTGGCATTGTGCGTTATTTGAAGGAGTTCCATAAGCCGCTTGCTTAGAAAAACTAATTACAGATTCGCACATTGCAATTTAATAAGCTTAGTTTATACTTTTTAATTCTTAAATATCATCCAATCTCTGCCTTGATCTGCTGAATGATATCTTCATTTTTCATGACAGCGAATATTTTAAACTCTTCAAGCGAAATGCGACCATCTCCGTCACTATCTACTTCTCTGATAGTTCTATCTACAATTTGCTAGAAATATGTCAAAATACCCCTTACTTGTAGTTGGACGTCTGAAAGCTGCTCTCCAGTCATCATTCTTAGTGCTAAAAATAGGTCCCCATTGCTGATGTACCCATCGTTATTGGTATCATAAATGGCAAAGATAACTAATTTGATAAACCATGCGATGCGCTTACATGATAGTTTAGAAAGTGGGGTGCCTTTCCTGGTAAAGGCCGAAAGACCGGAAACAAATTCGGCAAAATCAATGTGGCCATCTTGGTTCGTGTCGAATAAGGAAATAATCTTGGAGGCCAACGGATTATCTTGAACTCCCTCCAAGCTTAATAAATCGGAACATTTTAACTTTCCAGATCTTTTTTTGTCAAGCGTTTTGAATCTTGCCTGAAGTATTTCCATCTCATCCAATGTAACTACAAGTATAAGAGATTTCCGTCTTACGTTGTTCGTCCATGGTCGATGGTATTCCATCTCTGACTGGATGTGTTTATTTATACTTTATTAAACCTTGTGCATTATTGGTGCTTCTTAATGATCAACAATTCTATTGGGCCCATGAGGGACCAATCAGTATAAATTTCAATTTTTTTTCCTTCTCTCCATGATTAGCGAATTGAGCGGCTTAACAAAGTTGTCAAAGTCGATGTCTCTCAGCGCAGAAAGCACCGAATCCGGGGTAATTGTGATTTTTAACGGAGCTTTCTTGTCTGGTTTCGTTTTGGAAGAATTTGGAGCGACGGCT